TCATCATAAGATAGTCTAAGACCAGTGGAGACTAGATTCTCCTTGGGGGCTTCTTCTTGAAGAGTATAATTGTTATGAAGCTTATGTTGTCTTTGGATGTTAGTAATGCTTTCAGCTTCCCTTCCTCTTTTGTTAGACCGAATCATTGGAAGGAGATTCTCGTTAGAAAAATAGTTTACTGGATCAACAGTGCACCCACCTCCCACTTCACAAAAATAAAGGCATGATTCTCAGTTTCTTGTGTTGAATAATGTTATTGTTTAATAAACAAGAAACTTACTGTTTCCAAGCAAGTGAAGCTGATTAGATTGTGTGTTTGTCTGGTATTGCAACTGGTTCTCATTCATAAAAACTGGTGGTAGAGTGTTTACATAGTTTCTACTTGCCATCTTCTTTTACGAATGTGTATGTAAGATGGGAAAGTATTCTGACTTTCTCGGTTGAATTAGAGTACTAACAGAAGAAGAATGAATCCTGCAATTAAGGAAGAAAAAGTCATTAGCCAATGAAAAAAAAAAACCTAAATATCTGGAACTTTTGATTCAAAATACTAACCATAATTTACAAATAAGAGAAATGAAAACGAGATAATGCTGGATCAATTAATGAACAGATTTGGAGTTAAATACATGGTCAAAGAGAAGAAAATAAAAATGAAACAAGGAGAGATTATATATAACATTTTTAACCTAAATGACGATTAGGTTTCTGCCTGATAGAGAGATTTGATTGGTTCATAAGTCAAAGTTGCATATGGATATATACTTTTAGCTTATTATAAAGTAAATCTATGAAAACATGGAAAAATTACAAAACTTCATAGAACTATCTGTGACATATAAACATAAACCCTAATTTTCCAAAACTGAGAACAAGAAGAAGAGGAAATGAATATGTACCTTTTTCAGAAATCTCAACAGATTTAACAAACCCTAGTTTCCTCTCAGATCCTGCATGAAGAGAAAAAAATCAGATCATCATCAACTCATATAAAGAAGCTGGTCTCGTCTTGAAAATTTTGTTCTTAAAAAAACGGATAAAAGAAATATAGAGACGAACCGATGATTCAGGATCTTGACAGGAAAGAAGATGCCTTTGGTTGAGATGAAACGGCTATAGAAGAACAAGACTCTATTAAATTAAAGCCACAAGAAAAGATAAACAAATGTTATTTTTATTAAAGTAAAAGAAATCGAAAGGAATAAGACAAAAGAAAGAGGCAAAAGAAACGGAAGAAGAAGAAAGAAAGCAAATGAATGATGATGGTTTGTTTGTAAGCAATTTGAGCGGGTGCGATGGAGCGGGGACAGTGTGATGAAGATAGTGGGGGAAGTTGGTTGCCATTTTTTCGATATTTTTTTTTTTATAACATCTAACTTTATTAATTTCAAATCAATGTAACAGATTACATGAAACATAAATTTCAACAAATATATTGTGAAGAAAAACTTTTAATAGAGATAGCAATAACACGATGCTTCCTAACGCATTCGTAGGAAAGGCTGATTCGCTAGCTATTCCCCAGATCGTTCTTGGTCTTGTAAGATCTTTTCTGTGGCTTTCAATTCTTGTGAGTAAATGCCTTTTTTGAAACAGATCATTGGATGCGATCCATCTGTTACATCGCAATCCGTCCCAAACACTCCCGCTGCAGGAGATAACATACCTTGTTGAAACTGTCCATGGCATTGAAATCCTTTTGCTTTGAAAACAATAAATCCATACGTTCATCATATCTTCATCATATAAGCGCCTCAGCAGTTCTTCACTCCTCTTGAAACAATGATGATTATGACTCTTTAGAGATATTAAGACTCGTGAACAACCCACTTTGTTAATATCTTTCATAACCTTCCACTCAAAAGTCTTCCATTTTATATCTTCTCTATGAAACCCACCGTAGAGAATCTTCATCACTTTCATTATGGAATTACTGCAATCTTTCCAAAAATCCAACACATAGTGCATAAGACCAAAATTGGTTATTCCTGGATCCCAAATCCATTGATGAAAACCTAATCTCAATTGAAACCAACAAGTTTCAAGAGTCAAATAATGGAAACCGCATACATATATTGACAGCGGAAAGACACAGACACAATAATTCAAAGTTTGTTGTTGAATCATGGTCAGACAAAAACTCTCGTATAAAGAGACAAGAGGAATGATAATTGGAATATGAATCAACATATTCTACGCCTAATGTTATTGGAAAACTAAACAGAGAACAAAGAAAAACAAAGTAGAGAAGAGTACAGCCGACGCCGGAGTCGACGTCGGCCGGAAAACAGGAGATTTCGTAAAGTTGTATCTATCGCACTATAGATCGCCAAAGAAAACGAGAGGTTTTGACGGTTTTCTTGCGTTCCCATTTTTTCGATATTTATTTTGATTAACAAAACACTACACACTTCGTTTTTCTTTTCTTTTTTTTTTTAAATTTGAAAATAATAATGGTTGATAGGTAGTAAATGTAAACACCAAACAAAGATTCAAGAACCGTTGGTGCTGCTTTCTCGTCTTTTCTTTCGTCGTGAGTTGTGTTGTGTATCTTTCCCTTCTCATTACGCCAACTTTTCTGGTTTTACTATTCTTTTTCTCATTTTCTTTTTTTTTTTGGTTAAATCAGAAAGATAATAGGTTAAAATGACAAACGTATTATTTGTTTTAACGAAGATAACAAATTTATTTATTACGTAAATGACAAACATCTAAGGCACATATATACGAATTTTAAATAGACACTAGATTTTTACCCGCGCAACCGCGCGGGTGTTTGTTTTCGTTTATAGTTTTATAAACATGTTGTTTTCACTTGTAAATTGGTATATATTATAGTAATCACATATTTACGATATGTATAGTAAATGTTTTTCAAACATAATAATATTATATAATAAGTATTTTAATCAAATAGATTGTTTCAAATTTTCTATATTATACATGACTTTCAAACATGTGTTTGTTTCTTCTTCTATATTTTATTGTTTGTTAGATTAGTATTTCATTTTTAGATAAAGTACTATAAATAGAGCTTGGTTAAATATTAGTGTAATTTAATTTGCAAAGATAATATAAACTTCGAAGAAATTTTTGCTAAAAACTAAACTTATAGCTTCATAAATTAATATTATAAAAGTTTATTAAAAAGGAATTTTTTAAACAATTTCTTTTTTTTTAAACAATACAAATTTAAAAATTTACATCGAAATAAATTTATCTAATATATATAACGTGTAAATTTTGTTAAGGTATATAAATATTACATATTAATAATATGTGATTTTTGTTAATATATTCTGGATGCATTTAACTATTATTGACACATTTCCTTATAAATAATAGAATATTCCTAAATTTATATCTATTGACATATTTTGCGTGACTAAGTTGGAAGGTGTGGGGTAATTTACCAAAACAAAATTGTTAAGCATATTATAAGATATAATAATGATAATATTATTAGAGAGTTAATGTAACATAACTTTCTAGTAATAGTCCATTTTTAAAAAAATCACACATGAAATCAAGTCATGACTTCTGTTTTAATATATAAGATATATAAGGTATTTAAAATAAAATGTGTTAAGATGAATAAGTTTCACCTAAATAAACATTTAAGTCACATGGTTGATCCTGGGCATATGCGAGTAAAACATTAGATTATATCTCTCAGAGCAGGTTTATTACAGTTGCTTAAGGCAATTGTTTAGAGTATTTTATGATTAAAAGAAAAGGAACAGGGAAAAAAAGAGAAGAGATGTTGTTTAATTAAGCAATAGAAGGGTGTGTTGCTTCCTTTGCTTTTCATCTTTTGATGCTATTTTCTCTTTTTCTTTTCTCTACCCATTTAATTTTCTTTTCAGTGATCCACTTAAGCAACTTTCAAAAAAATTTAGCAATAAACATGCTCTTAACATCTTCAGAAAATTTTACAGACATAAACCTCTAAATTTATACAATTTTTAAAACTAAAATTTTCACTAGTTTTTTAAATTTCAAGACCGGTTCTGCTAAATCCACATACTAAAACATTGAATTCTTAAAATACTGACAAAAACTATGGAATATGATTAATTGCATTAGATATCTAAAACAATTATGTGACCGCGTTGGAGAACAATAGTTTATTGAAACCGAATGATTAATACAATGGCACCCGTACTGGCCATACACAATTGTATTTTGAAAAACATCATTCATAATCGCACACATGTCTAGTAATCAGACGATGATGAATGTCGACTACGATAGAGACTGATCGTTTTAAAAATGTATCAAAATATGGAATATATAATCACATCGACGATTATACATGTGGAATAATTCAAATTTAATTCTTCTCAAGTCAATACCAAGACGAGAAACATAAATAATTCAAACTATTCCACCGAAGAATAACACGGTTGTGAATGTATTTATGGTTTTATATAATGCAAAATATAAATGTGAATATGCAGAGAGAGTGATATGAATGGAGATAAAATAATATTAAAATAATCGTTTCACGTCAGATTCAAAGTCAGGACACGGATTCCAGAGTTAGTGGGGGTAAAATCATGACAGAAGAAGAGATTAGTCAACCACTCGGTATTTTGGTCTTTTTTTATCTGTCGAAATTCATGGGACGATAACAAAAGAAGACGGGATCAAATTAGAGAGAACATGTTCGCCGTAATCTCGGTGTGTTGGGAGGCAAAGTAGCCGTTTTAATTGTGAATAGGACCCATGCACCTGGTCGTTAGGCAAATATGCCGGGTAAGTTTTTTGGCGGGGAAGAAGCTTCTTTAACCCTTTAGTAGCTGTAGACCATATGACTTTCTGGAAAATTGGACGTAGCCGTAGCACGCCAGTTTGTGGAAGGAAACTCTTCTTTTTTAAGAGGAATAATCATTGTTGTTTTTTATTTTGAGAATAAGAGGAAAAGTTATTGTTATTAACTACAATATTCAATTATTCAATAATCAGTCGTAATGTTTGTATAAATGAATATGGAAAAAGGCAAATGATGACTTAGTGGACATGTTTTTGTTTATTTCGTCGACAACATAAAATAAAATAGGAACAAGTAATAATTTTAGCTGATAAACAATGATTTAGCCTATTCTTAGTATATAATATAAACTTTGAATAATTTTACTAAAACCTCATTATTGAAGAATTACTAGACTTCTAGCAACCTTCGTTAAAGAGGAATATCATCTATATGTGGGATGTTAAAAATATAAGAAAGCAAAAGGTTTTTCTAGTGGTTGCAACCACATCGATGCAGTCATCATATTATTATGTGTACTACAATTCTTTTGTAACACACGATATCCAACTAATATTTGGTTAAAGAATTGTAATGTTTATATAGTGCATAACCTTTGCTTTCCCTTCAAGTTTTTAAGTGAGATTCTCTATTAGTAGACTGGATCAGGTCTCTAACTTTTTTTTGGTGAATTTCTTGTACAAACGAAAACTGACTTGGATAACCTCAAATTCAAGGAAGGTAAGAAACCTTGCACCTTAATTTATTTCAGAAACTAATTTGATTCCAAGTCACGATGATAATTTGCGTCTACCATATTGTAGTCATATGTTGATGCAAAGTTTACTAAAACGGTGATGTTTCTCTTTACCTAGCCAGACTAGTATTGTTTAGTCGTGTTACATGTACATATCATCTTCTTAATATTAGAATTGGTAAAATAATATTTCCATATATTTAGCTTTGTTCAACTGTTCACACCACTAAATATTTTTACCATTTTAATCCTTGTAATAGTCTATATTTTGCCTATGAATTGTTTGAATCTCAGCTTGCCATGGTTGACCTCAATAAAACTGCAATATTACGTTAGTATGAAGATCAAAAGCTCTATATATCATCTCGGTTTTTTTGGAATGAATTTCTCAGTTGGGCAATACCATAATCTTGAAGCTCATCTGTTAAAGAATCTTGAACTATGGAACATTATAGAGTAGTTCCAGCAATTGCGCAAGAGTTGAAGCTTGGTAGGTAGACTTAAGCCCACTAATTAAATTCATAAACATACATACGTAGGTCACAGGAACCAAATAACAAACACTATCCTCTAAATTTGCGAAGAGCTTCATATATAGCTCAACTTTCAAGTTGCCTCTACGAGGGACCAGTGATCATTATTGTGACATGTTTGGATGCATATACCGATCTAGGGTTCTTGCATATATGAAGAAGCGGGATTCATATTAAATTCTAGTTCAGTTAAACCGTATATGATAAACTTTCAGTTTGGTTTAGAACAATTCGATTCTCTTACAATCATTTAGTAGGACCGATCAAAGCAAATGAGAATAAAGTTTTGGAATGGGTATGGTTCACATTTTAAAATTCAATGTTTAGACGAACTAAATTAGATTAGCCAAAATTTGGTTCGTCCGGTAATTAGTTTTGAATTTCACTTTACCCGTTTAAATAAACCGACAAAAACGCTAACTAAAGTTTGGTTAGTGAGAAAAAAAACAAAGTTAACTGCGAAGTCATAGTCAAAAAGTTAATTCAACTAAAAATAAATATCGTGATAAAGTGCAGATAGAGAAACTATCTTTTGGATGATAGAGAATCTATCTTTTGGATCCTCTCCTGTGTTTTTAGCCCTTCACTTGGATCTCTCTTGGATAAGTCATTAAACACAATCCCCACGTCTATGCATGTATATCTAACTTGTTACAAAAAATATCTTCATGCATGTTTTGTTCCTTTTCGTTATAAATCATCATAATTCTCTTCCAAAGTTCTTGGATTTGTCTCAATTGGAGATCTACGACAAAGAAGAAGACGGATCTTCAAAACAGAAGACAAAAATGTGTACCTCTCATCATGATGATATATCACAACACAAACTCCCTTGTCTCCATTGCGACCCACACTCATACATTCACATGGTACACACACATACATACATACATACACCGTTTATGCGTCTTTTGTTTGAGGTAACAATCCTCACCATTAGTAGTTTTGATTTTGTTTAGGTTCAGAATATGATAGAGAGGTGTATCATACTCCGTATGAGTCGCGACGAATGCGTCAAGGCGTTAGACCGCCACGCAAGCATTCTACCACTCGTTACACTCACCGGTTAGTCTTTATAACCATTACACATAAATAGCCTATGACTTGTTCACAATCTATAAATCAAAATTGTTTTTAGGGTTTGTTAAAAGAGTTCCAAAATGGTATTTAGGTTTCAGTCTCGCGACAAGAAAAGGTATATGGAGATTTTAAAGAAATTTAGTGGAAATATTCTGAAGATTCTTGAATCATGATAGCTCTTTTTTTAACAGATAATAAAATTATAGAAGTCACAAATGTTTATGCAGCTCTTCGGCTATATATATATTCCATGCTTATATCGAGCAAGTGTGCTACAAATTTTAAAATAATAATAAAAAGTTTTTATTTTGGTTGCAGTTTGGAGAGGACTTGAGAGGGAAAATAAGGAGTTCTTTGAAACGTATGAGCATTCCTTATCTCCTGAGCCATTTCTCAAGTAAGATTTTCGAAGATCATCATATCATATGTGTGCCAGTGTGTGTATTTCAATTGTGAATACATTTCAATTTAATGTATCAGCTAAATTATCCACCAAATCTCAAAACACAATGCTGTTTGTAATGATTTTCACGAAGACTTTTTTTTTTGTTTTGGTTGCTTTCTTGTTTTGTTTATGGAATCAACATTATCAGGCCGATATGTTCGGAGATCACCGAGGCTGGCGAGAAGGATACAACAGTGAAGACTTTGCCTTAGGCTTCTAGATTTATATGAGAAAAAAAACTTCAAGTTTATATATATGTAGACGCTAGTCTTAGGCTATCATACATATTGCTAAAGATGAAACATGATCATGCTATCACATGTAGACCTTTTTTTTGTTTTTTTTTTATATTAAAGCGTTCTCTAAATTTTATTATTAACATTGGTTAATTATAAATAACAAACTATGAGAAATATTACAAGCATTCTCTAATTAGATTAAGCAGACAAGTTTTTCTTGTGTAATCTATATTGCGTTCTCTAATTAAATTAAGCACAAGTTTTTCTTGTGTAATCTATATTGCGTTCTCTAATTAGATTAAGCAGAAAAGTTTTTGTTGTGTAGTCTCTATATATTTAGCGTTGCTTATTTAGATAGAGTCTATATCCCTCCTTAAACACACACATTAAAAGCTTCTCCAACTAGAGTACTGGTTAAGAACAAATACAAAACCGAAGAAACAAATTACCTTAAACCGAACATAACCGAGTGTGTAACAAATAATTGAGATGTCTGAACATAACCGAGACTCCGGTTTAGATCGAATAAAAAAAACATCTGCGCAACGACAAAAGGTGTCGACTTTCATCTTCAAAAGTCAAACGAACTAATAAAATCCCGACAAAGATCTTTCCTTTTTTCTCTTCTGGTTCTCTGAAGGGATCTCAGCATCTCAGATGCGGTAGAGAATCTTTTCTCAATTACAAGAACAAAAAGGGTATCTCGTAATCCTCTGTTCTGTTCTGTTACTATTTTTATAATCTGGTTAATATTAGTGATAATGTTCTTGTTCTGTTTTTAATTGAATCTTATTATTAGGACTCTATTGACTTAAAGCCATGGCTGCTGACACAACATCCTTAAGTTACTGGCTGAATTGGAGGGTCTTCCTCTGTGCATTAATCCTCTTAGCTCCATTAGTGTTAGCAGCGTTTCTCATAAGGAGATACGAAGGCAAAAGAAGAGAAGGAGAATCTCCAGGGACATTGTACAAAGACGAAGCTTGGACCACGTGTCTTAAAACAGTCCACCCTCGTTGGTTGCTTGCCTTTAGAGTATTCTCATTTGTTGCAATGCTGTCTCTACTCATTGCTGATGTTGTTCGCATTAGAGGCGGCGTGTTTTACTTCTATACTCAGTGAGTTTTCTTTTTTTAAAAATTGTGTTCTTACTTGTGAATCTTTGCAAATGAGTGATAAAGATTCAATCTTTGTTGGTGATGAAACAGGTGGACGTTTACTCTTGTCACACTCTACTTTGGGGTATGTGTTGTCTTTGAAGTTATAGTCTTAGTTTTCAGAAACTTACTAAAGCTTTTTTGTACAATAGTATGGTTCGTTGTTATCTATTTACGGATGCTACATCTACAATAAAGAAGGTGGTGAGAGTTATACTTATACAAGTATAGGTGATGCGGAACAAGGAACTTATACACCACCTATCATCTTTGAAGAGGCAGTGAATACCGCGAAACCTTGTGGTAATACACATTCAGAAGCACCTTTGCGTGAAGCAGCTGGTTTTTGGGTTTACATCTTTCAAGTTCTGTTCCAAGTAAGTCTATTCTAAATCATCTTGTTATGAGAGAAGAAAACTGTACCAACTCTTGTAACAGACTTGTGCAGGTGCTGTTGTGCTAACAGATATCGTGTTTTGGGGATTAATCTACCCGTTTACTAAAGGTTACAGACTGACTTTTGTAAGTTCTGGCTCTTCTACTGTTTTGATATGTTCTTCACTGAGTCAACAATGAATATGTTTTAATCTCTCTCATATGTGTTTATTTTCGTTGGCAGCTCCGTGTTTGTATGCATTCTCTCAACGCAGTTTTTCTCCTCGGTGACACATGTCTCAACTCTTTGGTAACTACTCTTTCAAAAACTGGCCAATGGATACACGGAGTCTCCTGATTTTTATAACCTAACAGAAACTTTCTTTCCTCTTCATCATCCAGCGATTCCCATTGTTCCGTATCTCTTACTTTGCATTTTGGAGCTGCATTTTCGTGGCTTACCAATGGATTATTCATGCTTTCAGCAACTTATGGTACACACTTCTTCTGTCTTCTCATCTTCATAGAAGCTAAAGTTTCCATCAAAATTACGATTTAAGTATGAAGTCTTCTTAACAATATACACACAGTGTGTCAATTATCTTTTAGAGTTGTTAACTTGTTAAGGGAACTTGTTTTGCAGGTGGCCATACCAATTTCTTGATCTGTCGTCGCCGTATGCACCCTTGTGGTATGTTCACAAACTCTTTCACACTTAGTATGGAAAGAGAGACACTTATTGTGTTCTTTTTACTAATGTTTTTTTGGTGCAGGTACTTGGGAGTGGCATTGGTGCATATACCATGCTTCGCCGTCTTTGCTTCGATCATAAAGCTGAAGAATTCTTTGCTCGAGCGTCACAGCTCGTGATTGGTTTGGGTTCCCTCTTCTATCTGTTGAGACACATGAGGACTCGATGGCCAAAGTCAAAGAAACTCGAACCCTATTTGTGGATAATAAGACTAAGCCAGAAGATAGAGTAAGCCCAAGGTATCTTAAGTTTTCAACTACAGTCCAAAGGTTCATTGAGATCTTGACGTCTTTTGTTTACTTAAACATGTTACTCTTGGATGTAGTTCACTTGTTGTAAAGATGGCTTCACAAAACTAATAATAACTTGAAAACTAATTTGGTTAGATGTTATGTTATAACAAATCATAATGGTTGAAGAAGGTGAAACTTTGGTTTGCAAGTTAGCTGGTACATACTCTGAAAATGAATGAACAACTGAACATCCACCAGCTCTTTTCACCGAGGAGTAGCTGCAAAGTCTTGCAAATATATGTTCAGTCTTAATAGTTATTTTAACATATAGTATATTATGAAGTAAAACAGATCATTGAAAGTTGCTACTATAAATAGTAAATACAAAAGTCCTTATTGGTGTGCTAACAACCGAACCTGTGAAGCTACACATTCTCTCACTCTATTCATTTCTCTCAACGGTAAAGATCTCCATTTTTTTTCAGGGATCTCTGTTTCTTCTTCATTCCTTTCCATCATAAAGATAAATTCTAAGTTGAGGTTCTGTTTCTTCCAGGTGAAGACAATATTCTTACAAACTGGTGCTTCACTGAGACCTAAGGTATGTGCACCTCTCGTGTAAAATCTAATATCATTATGAACATGCCATATTATCGTGACTTCAGTTAGTAACATTTTTCCAAATACAGATCAAAGCAGAAATTGAAGAGTTTATCAAAGTCATTTTCACTCTATTCCAAGGTATGTTAAACCATATCTGAACCTTGATACACATCAAACACACATATACTGTAATATAACCTAAGCTTGGTGGCACATGATTAAGCCCTTGAAATTGCAGCTGGGTAGACATTGAGTTTCCTATGTCATTTGGAAGAGTAATGAGTCCCACTGAAAGCTTCATCCATGGATTAGATGAGAAAGTATCATCGTCTAAAAAGTCTGTCTCCTTCATTGTTCTTTTGAACTAGTAAAGAGATTATTACTATGCTCCTTTTGTGGTTGCAGACAAGTGCGTCCTTGAAGTTTACCGTTCTGAATCCCACGGGGAGCAACCAAAGAAGATCAGGTTTTGCAGTACTCCAGAGCTGTAATCGATGTACTATTCAGTTGTTATTTTTTACTCCTTCCATAAGACTATTTGTTTCATGTTGCTGATGAGTAATAAAAACACAATACTGCAGTGTGCTACAGCAAACCCTGTGGAAAAAGCAGAGCTCTTGTGATTGGAGTTGGGATTGCCAACTTCACTGATGTATCTGCAAGGAAGCAATCCATATTACATCACAGCCGCAGCATAAGCTTCTCTCTCAGTACCTTCAGTTCCATATGTACTTTACCAAAACCGCCTGTTTCTTTAAAGCCTCTATATATCTACTTTATGTTTAAGTCTTGAAAACTCTTATGGTTTGTCTCTCTTTCAGATTCTTATCATCAGGATCAGGAACTTTAAATTAAATCGATATAAAGACTCGAGAGCAAACATTGTCCGCTTTTTTTATTCCCAAGAACAGAAAAGAAAAACACACACACACACACACACAAGACGATATAATATCACAATAATCTTTCTTACTGGTACAGAAGTATCAAAAGATGATTTCATACGGTACAAACTAAACCTTAAAGAACTCAAGATTTATATTACAACCGATATCAAATCAATAAAACTCGAAACACACACGAGCCTGATGCCGATATATGACTTGCCGTTTTTGCCATTACCATAAGCATAACTTTTTGTTGTTGTTGTTGTCTCCTTACTTCTCATGGCCAAGCTAAACAAACTGTTGGGGAAATGTTTTAAAGTGAGGCTCCTGGCTCTGTCTCCTCCTTTAATGGCTCCTTCTGCATCTTTTCTGGTGATGCCTCTCCGGCTAAGAAAAGGTTTCTCATTCCCTTGACGACTTTTTTTATAGGTTTTTTTTTTTTTGATGAGTGGGTGAGATCTCTATCTTCAAGGGCTACTATATATATAGATATATTAGCTGGGATGGTGATTTTATTATTTGGAAGGTGGAGGTGATGATGACTATTGGATAATGACATCGTATGTTTGGTCCAAGTCATAGTCCAACTCAGAGTTTCCCACTTACTTCCTTTTTGTCAAAGCAAATATTCGGTTTGAGCCGTTAAAAGTTTGGTGCTGCATCATCGCACTCGTGGAAATAAAATAAAGTTGCTAGATTCTCATGTTTGTTTGAAATGACAGTTGTCCTTTTTTGGATTATTTCTGAAAGAAATAAAGGTATGTTGTATCATTTGTAAATGCAAGTGTAATTCTGAAAGTTTTTAGTAAATGGATCATATACAAAGCAAAATGGTTGGTTCCGCATCTTTTGGTCATATGCAAATATGGCAATCATGCAAAATGGTTGTGCTTATTAAGTCATAACCATACTCAAAAGTTTTGCTAAAACGTGAGAGTTTATCCGAGTTTGTGGTATACTTTTTATGTTTATAATAAATATTCTTTAGAAGAACAAAAACAATTTGTGAAAGGACCAATGGTCGTACGTTGTTGTTTATTTAAGCAAATTGTGCGTTCCTTGTATGATTCCATATTTTTTTGTTATGCATGTATATTGTACCAAACAATTGCTATTTAGATAATGCATAGTTTCATTATGTAACCAAAATCCATCCTATAAACTTCGGTGGAATGAGAAAAGGGAAGTGTTTAGTGGTAGACCAAGGAGATCATCGGAGTCGTCGAGTCCCCTCACTAGACAGATCGGAGAAACTCTCCAAATTGGTGGAGCAAGATTTGTATTTATATTGTCACCAAGTTTTGTTGTTGGTTTTGTTTGATGGATATAGTTTTTGGGCTCTAAGAGTCAACTCTACACAATTACTGACTATGTAGCTCATATATGCAACCATTTATATATACATCTATTAAGTTAAAATTTTAACGTTGTACACAATTAATATATACTTTAATTTTTTGATATGCATTATTCTGATACAAACATCTAAATAGTGACTTCTTTAGTAATATATATATATATATAAAATAAACATATAATTAATGTAGTTAAGTATGTAATTGTTTAGATTATTTGTTAAGTATATTTTGACTAAAATCCAATACTTACTTTTTTTTGTCAGCTCTAAAATCTAACACTTCTGTTAACGTCTACAATATTTGTTAACAGCGAACACATTTATTAACGCGAAGCGTAAAAATAATTGTTAACAACTAACACTTCTGTTAACGTCTACAATATTTGTTAACTGCTAACACGACGTCGAATCTAAAACCCAGAAAATTGATATCATCAAAAAATTGAGGATTCAAAGCCACTTATGAAAAAATAATGAAATTTAAAATTTAATTGTATATAAAATGATAGAGATTTGTAAAATAATTAGGGATTGAAGAGAAAAAAGGTAAAAAAAATTGAGGATTCAAAGCCACTTATGAAAAAATAATGAAATTTAAAATTTAATTGTATATAGAATGATAGAGATTTGTAAAATAATTAGGGATTAAAGAGCAAAAAAAATGAAAGATGTCAAGGAGAGGAGAGAGAGTGTAGAGAAGGGCATAATGGTCCAAAGAAAAACAACAATCAAATCATGGTTATTTTACTAATTATAGATGTCAAATAGGGTACTTTAGCCAATTATCTCTTCTAAAAAAAAGAAGAAATGGGCCGATGACATAGTAAACTTATAAATATTTTTCACAAGCATGATTTATAGCTAATCCTTTAACACTTTTTATTATTCGGAGTTTATTCTTCCGCATGCCAGTTTTGTTTATAGAGTTCTTGTTTTAGGAGGTGGGATTGACGTGACAATGAAGAACAAAGCTCAAATTTTCCTTCCTAAACAGGTAACTTCCCAAAACGTTGACTTATAAAGTATGTAAACAAAACTCTAATGTATAATTAATGAGCCACTTTTTGATCAGTTTGTATAAATGGTGGGCGGTATACTCTCTACGTATGTCCTGTATACCAGTAATCTCTTATTATTTGCTTTATATTTTCTAGTTTTGTCCTTTTTTTTTTAAAAAAAAAAAGAGTTTTGCTCATCGACATTATTTGATATTAACCACAAGGTGGTGGTGTAATGGTAGGCGAGCTTCGGGACAATCCGGGTTCGAAGGCACCCCATTACATTTCACTTTGTAGCCACACGGATATGGATTATTGCTTTCGAACCATTTGAATGCCTAGGAAAGAGTCTATCTGTGGGTTGTACCTCCACCCGGAGATTAGATCTGTGTCTTTAGTAGACCCGGATTTAATCATTTGTTTTATAAAAAAAAGAAATTATTTGATATTCAAAAATATATAACATGAGTTGGACGAATATCTTTATAATACACTGTACTTACCTAGTCTACAATAATAAGAAGTCAAGTCTAAATGGTTAGAATATGAATAACATGAAGCGAAAAAAGTTGGTATATGACAACAGTTGTTTTTTTGTGAGTGAATAGTTATTTCATACAAATACATACATTTCTCGTTGTTTCATATATGACGATGTAATACGTAGTGAATTATATAGAAACACCATCGTGTTTGGAAAAAGTGGACGGCTGTTAGGGCCAAGGGGCATAACCGCATAGTGGTGAACACTGAACAACAATGGATTAACCAAATTATCAATCAATAAAATACTGTAAAATAATAGAAATAACTTTGCATGCACGAACTGCCAAAAGAAACATGAATTTTGAAGCTAACCAAAAAAACCATAAAATTTTCATTGACTTCAATTAATAATGTTTTCGTTGACTTGTCAATTTAGTATACCGTGAGCAAATTTAACATCGTTTATTGTTAGCATTAGATGAAACGATGTCGTTTTACATAATTTGAAATAAAAAGAAGTAGACTACCAGAATCAAACTCGTGTTAATTGGGTCCAACGGACCGGTATATTACCATTGTGCTAGTGGCACTTTCAATGGAGTTACCAACACATTTAATTTTATTTGGTATTGATTGAATATAAAAAAAATTCTCTAAAAACTTAAAAAATCTTAATATTTCCAAAAAAAATTGAAGAAATAAAGATTTTTTTTATTAAATTAGTTTTGCAATTAAAATTAAAAATATTTTTTTTCTTTAAAAAAAATTAAAAGTCTTCCAAAATTTTCAATTTTATTAAAAACAATTTCTGAAATTGAGATTAATTATACACACAAAAGATACCCACATATTAAAATTAAATAAAAATGCTTAAAATACATTGTACCCATTATGAGTGAGATTTTAATTTTTAGCTGATAATTGTAACTTAATTTTTTGATTTTTCTTTTAATTTTTATTTTTTTGGAATTTAAAAAAATGAAAATATTGGAAGATGTTTGATTTTTTAGGAAAAAATTACATTATTTTTTATTTTAATTTCAAACTTAATTTTATAAAAAAAATCTTTATTTTCCAATTTTTGGAATTTTAAAGATATTTTTAAGTTTTTAGAGATTTCTTTTTATATTCAATCAGTACCAAATAAAATTAAACGTGTTAGTAATTACATTGAAAGTGCCATTAGCCCAGTGGTAAAATACCTTACCATTTGTTCAAACAACCTGAGTTTGAATTTGGGGATCTACTTGTTTTTATTTTCATCTCATTTGAAAACGACGTCGTTTCATTTAGCGCCAACAATAAACGAAGTTTTAACTGTGGCTTCACGGTATGCTAATATGGCCAGTCAATTTTAAGTTGCTTAATAAACTAAAAAAGTAAACAAAAGTACATATTTTGGTCAGGTTCGAATATAAGTTTTTTCTGGCAATTCGTGCAAAGTTCGTGCTTTTTTGGTCGAATTTTCAATAATATATCACTTTTCATTCATCTATTTAAGTTCCTTCTACAACATCATAGGATACAAAACTTAAATCTTATTATGCTTCATCTGCGCTTACTTTTCAAAGTCTTCAACAGATTTTCCCTGATACATTCCGATCTTCAATTTCATCATCTCACTCTTAGCTTCTTTAATCTCTTTCCCCCTCTCATTCACACTCTTCTCACAAATGGCTGCTTTCTTCGGCTTATCCTCCTTCTTTGAATCACCCTCCTTTGAATCCATTTTTTTTCTTTTTGATCTTTTCTTGCTTTCTGTTGTTGTGTATGTGACTATGTGTGACATATTTATAGGCTAAATATATTTGGTGTTTCTCTCTTTCTCGTATGAAACGAATCTTCGAGGTAGGACCCTCTAATTTATCTGAAACCCACTAAATTTATCAGAAATTATGAAATATTACATAAAATAAACTAAACTAAACATAGTATATACTTTAAATTTGAAATCTAAAAAATATATAGTTGTTGATCATATCAACTTAGTCTTTTAACAATTTTTCTATACAATCATGAAAATTTGTGTAAATCATTTCACAGAAATTGCTAGAACTTAATAAAGTTTTGAATAGGACTGGCAAAAAGAACCGAACCTAAAAATCCAAATCGAACCCGATCTGAGAAAAAAAACTCGAACCGATCAGAAACCAACATAAGTACCGAATAAATTTTGTTTTACGGTATTTAGGGTTTTGGGTTTTACCATTAGCAATTTCCTTGTGAACCAATCAAGAACAGGTGTGCTTTGATACCAACTGCTTTAAGTTCTCCTTTTTACATTCTCTCTTATGATCCTCAAAACAATGATATGAGAAAGATTGAAATCAAAGGTATACCGGACCACTGGTTTAATGGGGGACGAAGAAGATGACCTACATTTTGACGTCATGTTTATGGACCAGAGTGAGACCCAAATATATTTGTCTTATAAGAAGCAAAGAAGGTAACGCAACCTTCACACAATTGTTGTTCTTTAAAATTATTGAAGCAAGTAGTCTTTGTTCAGGAACAAAAAAATAAACGTATCTAGTTGGTAAATTTGATCCGAAGCCCTCGACTTAATCACAACAAATAAACATAATCGACACCAAGTACATTCTATATTTCCATTTGAATTGTGAGTTATGGATCAAACGTATACAAGTTTGATGCTAGTTTTTAGTAATTATCGTCTTGCTTAGGGCAGCAATTCCAAATTCATCATAACAATAATATAAAAGGAGAGTTTATAGTAAACAAATTTTGAATTCCTAACCATAGACTTTACACAGTAGATTATTAATCATTTGACACGAATAAAAGACAGATAGAAAATAATCTGATGCATTTATAAATTTTAAATGAAATGTAGTTGTTGTTTATACTAGTGTAGGAAAACAAAGAAAATAAGAACAATGCATCTATATCTATATATTAATGAATTGCCTAAAGAATTAAGGATCAACGTCAATGTAGTCAGAGCTGCTCAACTAGGAGAATGAGGAGCACGAGGAGATTGATTAGGGAGAGTCTGAGGAATCTTTCTAAAAACATGTTTCCTACAACGTTGGAAGATACTGTCATATATTAGATCAAACTGTACTCCAGCTCTCTCTCTATTCACTATGAATGTTATGTGATCTGCTTCCACTATCTTATAATACCTGCAATAACCAAAACAAAAGGTTCCACACTCAGTTTCCACTCTATGTAACATGTTATATAATATGTCCCACTCACCATATTCCAGGTTGTAACGTTTGGCACTCAGAGTCGCTCCTTATGAACCGGCTTGGATGCTCCATTGGTAGCCTCGGATGTGTCATTGATATTGTGTTCATCGCCCCATCGTTCTCTTGCCACTCCTCATCCCTTCATTCCATACCAAAACAGAGTAAAAACAGAGTAAAAACAGAGTAAAAATAGAGTAAAAATAGAGTAAAAATAGAGTAAAAACAGAGGATTAATCAAGAACTTCAAGAAGGAATGTTAAAGCTTGAATCATTTTTGAGTCTTGTTGTGTGTTACCTGTAGCCTTTATAGGGAGGAGAAACATCTTGTGGGAATCTCCATTGGCTCATCTGAAAGACACGGAGGAAGAGCATAGGGTGGATGCCAAGAACACCTGAAGGGATATTCATCCCCATGGTTCTGCGTGTGCGTTTAGTCGCGTAGCTGAAGTAGTAAGTGTTTGGGAATGTCTGGAGACTGGAGTTGAGACTTGTGGAGCCTTGTATCGTGAGATCAGGCAAGATCCAATCACCAGTAGCAAAAGGACCTGTGTTTCCGACAAGGCAATCAACTAAACCTCTAAAACCGGTTTTCTTCCAAGAGATGTTGAAGTGATCGAACCCGAAACTGTAGTAAGTCTTTAGCCATGATATGTCCAACCAATCATACATTATCACACCTATACGACAAAGCTGCAACAGAGATATTGGTTTCATGCTTATTCCATCTTCTGTCCTGTAATAGTTAACAAGAAGATTTTGAGATGAGAACACACATTTGCTTCCACATTATCTCAAAAGGCAGAAACTGACCTCATGCCATCTAAGTAAGTCCTGGTGGTACCATTGAAAGCTCCAGACAATGATGTCACACTAAGAACCCAATTCTCATTAGTTTCTTCAAACCCTTCAAATGCCTAACCATCACAGTTTCAGACATATGTATTAGCATCAATCATTAGACAGAGATTTTCAAACCAATAATACATTCAACTTCAAACCTTATCTGCAAGCATTTGCTGCAACACGCGTATAACTTGAGCACCAGCTGAATGCCCCACAAAATGAATAGGATGATCCTCATCCCATTCAGGGTATTGCCCTAAACACACACACACACATACACCAAAAGTTAGATTTACATTTCATTTGGATATATAAAGAAAAAGTTTCAGATGCAAAACCTAACCTTCTCTGTAGTCTCTTCCAAAACGAGAATGTCCACAAGCTTCACTATGCTCTTCTCCAAAATCAACTATTCCTCCTTTTAAGTAATAGAATAACTCCCTTGCCCTGAAACCCATTCTCATCATCAATAAATAAATGTGAATAAAAATCAATATAAATCAAGACCACATACCTATCATAAATGCTTGTTAAAGATCCCAAATCAGGAACAAGAACCCTCTCATCTTTCTTCTCAGCACCAGCAAAGTATGACAAGCCTCCTAATCTCTGATCACAACAAGAACAAACCTCAAAACCAAGAATCTAATAAAAAAACAATATTAAAGTTTTTGCATTACCCCTTTGCCAAAACCAAAGATCCCATGAACCAATACAATAGGAGGCAGACCTTCAACATTGCTTTGACTTTGATAATCGTCGTTGACATCCACATTTGACTTTAAAAAGTAATCATTAACGTTCTTAGAAATATCTCCCGCCACGGCGGTGCTGAATATATAAAACGCGTAAAGCAAATGCACCATAGCGCTCACGAAGAGCTCAGCGAGTTCAAGAGAAGTCACCATCCATAACTTTATCATCTTCTTCTTCTCTTTCTCTCAAGATAAGAAATGAAAATGCAGAGAGACCCTCGTGAGTATTTCTTCAAAAGAACATTGAAAGAATGATTCTGTGTCAAGAAATGAGAAAACTTTGAATATTCCCGAGAAAGTGGCGTCGTCTCTCTTATTGAACAATTTTTGTTTCTGGAAAATTATTTGTCATCCACTTGTAGCTGCCCACCTCTCACCAAACAACTATTACAGAACATTAGAATAGTATGATTTATTGACCAAAAATATGAATTATGGACCAAGAAAACAATAAAACATTTTCGAATTTACAATTCTTTTAGCTCTGTGGCGCCATCTGTATGAGTCTTGACCTCTCCTAGTTTCCGTAATATTTTGTAATTTCAAGACCCACTACAGTTTTGAATAAATACATAATAAAAATTAAATTCTCAGCTTTAATGGTTATTTATTATTATTATTTTGGTGGATTGTGATTGGTTAAGACAAACGGCGAAGTTCGCTGGATCGGTGCTGGAAGGTTGGTTAATAATTTCCCAACTGCTTCTTCTGCTTTGATGTGTAACCTTATCCGGTTAATTATATAACGTATCATCTGTTAAAAGCGGTAATTTAGTTTACTCTAGCTTTCTAAAATAAGAAATTAAATCATATGGGTGATAAAATTATCACATTTAATTCCATATCCACAAGTTATTAGTAGGAAAATGGATAACATTATGAAACAATCACGCAAATGATGCCTTTTTCAAAGAAAAAAAATCACGCAAATGTACATGACTACTGCAAATTAGGTGTTTTGGGACTACAAGTTTTCATTTGTATATCTTAGCATATAAATAGTTATTCCATCCAAAACATATTTTAAAATATGGTTTAAATTTACTAAAAACTACCAATTAAATCGCTATATTTAGTCACCAAATGATATTTATTTATTTTATGAATAGTAGAAGTTTTTAAAGCAAGTATGGATTCACAAGAAGGATAATTATATGAAAATAAGTTAATTAATCACACCAGTCATAGCATTTTTTTGGTGTTTTATGCGTTTGATTAGAGAATGGGAATAGAAAAGAAGGTAGTCTCATGTGGAGGTTAAGTATAATTGTGGACTCTGTTGGCGGTAGAGAAGGTTTTTGTTCTGTATAATGTGGAAGTGATTGAGGAACTAATGCACATGGCTTGTAGGTTCTTTTTTAAAGAACTCAACTAGATTTTGATCCGCGCTTGAAAAGCGCGGAAATATTTTATGATTAAAATTTTATATAATTGAGTTTTGTCTTAATTTAAAAAATATTTTGATATAAAACCAGTTCACCAAAATTTGTGGGGATGATTGTTTTTCATTAGCTTTTAGTTTCAATTTTTATTTTTAGATTTTGGTTTTTGGTTTTTAGTTTTTAAGTTTCTACTTTTCATTTTCAGTTTTTGGTTTGGGTTTTTAATTTTTAAACCCGCTGAATTAGTTTGAACTGATATTACCAACTAACAAATCTCAAATAATCGAACATCTAATTTAAAACTGAAAAGATGACAATAAATTTAGAAAAAACATTTTGAAATAGTTTCTTTTGTAAATAAATAGAGAAAAAAATAATAACATGTGTTTTCAGCTTTTGGTTTTGAATTTGAGTTTTTAGATTTGGTTTTTGGTTTTGCTTTACATTTTTTAATCAGTAAATTATTTAAGAAAAATAAAACAATAAATTATTTAAAAGTTACCATTGAAATTTATCAAAACAAAGTGATTGTTATTTAAAATAAAAATATATATTAACATGTTTTAAAGTACATGATTTAAATAAATGATTAATAATAGATAATTTTATTTTGTTAAAAATATTAAATACCTTTTGGGTCTGAAAATAATAATTGATTCTTTGATCTTTTAAAGTGAAAAGTTTATTCAATGTTTTTTGGAATTTTTTTCTTAATACTAAGCCCAAAAACCAAACTATATAATTTGTTCAAATAATAAAAGTAAGCCCAATACTATATTCCATAAATAACCAATGATTTAATTTAAGTATAATTAGTAGATTTCCATATTCCATATTTGGATGATATATATTCGTTTAGAATATTCCATATTTGTAGGAGAAAATATGTTCTTTCGGTATACACATAGATATTTGTCGTATTTTGAAGGTAGTTTACATTAAGGTCCTCTTTTTACATTAATTGTGTTGGTTGAATTTAAGTAATACGGTTCAATCAATTATATGAATTATATTATTTGTAACATTCTAGAAAGGATCCAAATTTAAATGACAACTTGTATAAGTAGATAAAAATAATGACACTATTTTAATAGAGTAGATAATAAAAGTAGTATTTAATTCGTTTCCATTAAAAAGTACTGTAGTATTTAATAATAATATCAAACTTTTCTTTCCTTTTTCGGCAAGATACAATCATGTTCGCGCAATGAAATTAGGAGATTCAGAATAATGTTATATGCGAACGTGGAGGACTTCCACTTGTTATGAACTTTCTTCTTCATTGATACTATCAACAGTCAAGAGCATTGAAGTTTTGTTGATTCCACTAGGTTTATCTAGCTACCTCCAATTTACAGCGAAGTAGAATAATGTGATTCTTTAACTGTGTCTGAATAAAATACGTAGTAGATAATACTCTAGTGGCAAAACTCATTGTAGTTGGTCATTAACCAATATTTTATGATACACATTGATTTATGTATGGGATACAAACGTGTTGTAAACATTAAATTTTTGTGCTTACATCTTAATGGCAAAGCCAAATAATGTTTGTGTACTACACATTTTTAATCTATATGCTTTTATGCTTTACACTTTTTGCTTATAGAGAGTAAAGAAGTTCACTGGACAAATAACGTAAACGTACACATTGAGAAATGGTCGGAGAATTTAATCACACTTGTGGTCGTGTCTGGACGACATAGAGCTTCCCATCTCTGATCACACCTTCAATATCCTGTGGAGTTCCATACAATTTCTCGATGGCGTCCCCTGCGCGTGCAATGTCTGAGAGGATCTTTTTCTGGAAGCTCTCGTCAGTGATGAGAGGATCCGTTGTGTAATCAAGCACAACTTTGTCTTCCTCGTCCATTGGTACACTGCCAAAAAAAAAAACAGGAAGGAGAAGTTACATTGCTGCTTAAATGTTTCCACAATGATGAAACCAATACAATGACAAGAGGTTTTGAGTTTGTTTTTAGGTTACCTGTCGTAGAGACCTGCACCTGCATAACCTTCGAGATCTTCTCCGTTAGAATCAGATCTAAAGATGATGGAACGTCTTATGAACAGTCCAATCGGTTTGCTCGGGTAACCTAGCAACTGAATGATGTTTTAAACCTCATCAGCTTGAATCATTTCGAGGGACACAGTTTGTACATATATATAAAAACAGTGGTTATGTTTTAGTACCAGAGGCGAATCAAGGTTGTTTTTCTTGCAGATGAAACTCAGAGACCGACCAGGATATGCTCCTACAAGAGTTTCACCAAGGCCTTTCACAACCTGAAACCAAAATAAATACGACAATCATATGAAGTTAGAACCTGTTCACAAGGGTTTATGAGTAAAGATTTTCCTACCTCAGCGTAAATCTCTGAGGAGTCTCCAGAAGATGGGTTAGTTGTGTGAATGACGAAGGCATAGTCCGCATTGATGACTTCTTGGACCAAAACAGCCATGCAGAGATAGTCATGATCTAGTTTTACTTTCTTTGTGCTGAAGTACGCTCTTTCGTTCCATTTTGAAGCCCATACCTAAGATTTAGATATTCTGTTAGTGAGATTTGACATATTTAAGGTTAAGCAGCAATGTAGCTTATACCTTTTTAATGGCTGACCAAGCTTGCTCCCATCTCTGTTCACCTTCATCACCCGGCCATGGCATGTCAGAACTTTTCATTGTACTTTTCAGTTCTTCAACCTGAGCAACACCATGATCATTACATAGGCACACTTCTCTTAGCAAATCTCTACATTTTACCTTATTTCTCCTAAGGAAAATTTAGCTCTTCTGAATATTTGCATTTTGATTAACAATTAAACGTATCAAGCTTAACTAATGGCATCAAGAAGATAACACCCATACTCAAGCAGTGTAAACTCACCAATGAATAGTTAATTGTGTCCCACGGTTCTAACAAAAAAAAACAATCTTACATACCAGTTCTGGGGGTGCAACTAGTCCCAACACTGTCTTACGGATTTCTCCAAGAGCACTTTGGTCTCCATTATCAAGACTTTTCTTCAATGCTTGCAATTTGTCGCTCACCGCCTGCCACATCAAGAGGGAGAGAGAGAGAGTGATTAGGAAGTGAGGTCTCAAGGTAGTCATGAAAAATCAAAGTCGTTTGGTGAAGGCAATCATGAAAAATCAAAGTTTCAAACGTACCTGATTAGCCTTTTCAGAGAGAACCTTCTCAAAAACACCAAATGGTAGCGCAACTGAAGTTGGGATACCAACCCAAGAAGGAACTTTCCCTTTCAGATATCCAATATTCCTTGATTTAGCACCAACCTAGAAAACATAATCGGAAGTGTATCATTACTATACAAGGACCAAAAAATGTAATAAAAGAGACAAAGATTGGGAAGTTAAAAAGTCCAATAACGTTTACACACTAACCAAGTCATTTGTGAACTCCTCAGATGATATAGCATATCTACCCACAAACTGCTTCTTGACCAAAGAAATGCTTGGAGGGACATCTTCTAAATTGTCCGAACTTTGACTTGAAAGTTCACTCTCGTTTACCTCTCTGAGTAGAACCAAAAAAAAACAAGTAAAACAGTGAATTAAAAGAATTCAACGTAATAACTGTCAGACACAAGTATAATCAATCACCTATAGACCACATCTGCAGAGGTTGGTTTTAGGCTCAACACTTTCCCATCCATTGCTTGAAGATCAGATAAGATACCAGAGTCAAAACATGTCGCAAAGCAGATCTGCAAGTGGAATTCAGACAGAAGTTGAATGAACAAGCCACGAGCATTCAATAACCGT